TGTGTGTGTGTGTGTGTGTGTGTGTGTGTGTGTGTGTGTGTGTGTGTAAGTGAGAGAGAGAGAGGCTGGAGGTAGTACGCTGTAAGTTTACTGTAAAGTGGGTCTCCACTTCTGTGTTATTCCATTTAACTCTGGCTTCAGATTGCATCACTGAAGCTCTGGCCAATCCTGAGAAGGAGAAGATGAAACATGATGACACTACCATCTCCCCATGGCTTCAAAGTTAGTCTTTTCTGATGGTTGCGTCATTCACTTTAACATAAAAACAGACTAAATGTTTGATGTTTTAATAACTAACACACACCTGTTCTTGTCAACCTAGGCCTGGCCAGTCTGTGTGGGGCCGTGTTCAGAAAATACCCGATTGAGTTGGCGGGCCTCCTTCAGTATGTTACCAATCAGTTAAAAGCTGGCAAGAGGTAGGTAGCTCTAAAAACTTAACCTTCATATGATCATTTGTCTTGATAGTTCACACAATTAAGAAACCACCGGGTCAAATGTATTATTCCTACTTGGATAGTTTTGAAATACACAGTTTATAGATTTATAGTTTTGAGTTATGAGTACAAGGTGCACACAGTTTGTTGTCACCCATCACGCAGTGAAAGGGGGAAATTAAAAATACCATTTGTTCGTGTTGTGAGCTGGATAACTTGAAAAATAAGCAACGTGCCAGTTCCCAACTTGGTGTGTGGCTGTATCTAAGTGTAAATAAAAAAGGTCATTATCAAAAATTGGGTTGCTTTGTCAATCCAAGATGGACACCGTGTGTGTGTGCACGCGCGCGTGTTTGTGTAAAAGTGAGTGCGAGTGAGTAAAAAAATAGTCACCCCAGTCCTTTGAGGAAACTATGCTTTCTAATTTTTATATTGCTTGAAAGTAGTTTGCTTAAATGTCCAAATATTATTATATGGAGGCCATGGCCACCATTGGCCACCATTGGCCACCCCCTGGCTCCGCCATTGGGTCTGGTGAATAAAATTGCTCCTTCAGTCTGCGGTGCCTCAGACGAGCAAAAAAAAAAACCCTCCCTCTGTTCTCCTCAGTATAACTCCTCCCCACTAGAACATCTTGCACCAAAAACATTAAGGTTTACTTTCATTCTCTGTTCAATTCCAGTCCTGAAAAACACTCATCTGGAAAACAACAAACATTCACTATTCAAATCCCTCAGCAACAGGGGACATCGGCGTGCTGCTTGTTCACATTAAAAATACATTAGCTTGGTACATGTTGCATTTCACATTTTAAACAAACTACTGAAGTTCATTATTCTAAAACACTTCAAGTAAAGAAAATGACATTAAAGTTCATGCAGTTACTATTAAAGAAAAGAAGAACCTCCACAAGTTAAACTCCTTAAATGTGAGTGGGGAAGAGTGTATAATTGTTACCTTGCATCATGTCTTCTTACTCTTCTGTGCATATGTTGTAGACCTCTCTTTGCTTGTGGTTAGCGTTGATACAGCCCTCCATTTTCTGCAGTTTTGACCTGCTGATTCTGAAAGAAGTGGTGCAGAAAATGGCTGGCATTGAGATCACAGATGAGATGACCTCAGAACAGTTAGAAGCCATGACCGGAGGAGAGCAACTCAAAGCTGAGGTATAAACGCTTCAATCGAATCCAGCTGTGAGTTCCTAATTTTCACCAGCGTCAGAGTCACTTCATTATAACCGTGGCTGTGTTCACAGGGGGGGTACTTCGGCCAGATCAGGAACACAAAGAAGTCTTCACAGCGTCTGAAGGATGTGCTTCTGGACCATGAACTCGTCCTTCCGTTGTGTTTACTTATGGCCCAGCAACGAAACGGGGTGATTTTCTTGGAGGGGGGAGAGAAACATCTTAAACTTGTCGGCCACCTCTACGACCAGGTATGCTCTGTTGACGTATTTCACATACTAAAGAAAATAAAAGCACAGCTTTTTGTTGATGAACTTTCTGTCTGCAGTGCCATGACACTCTGGTACAGTTTGGTGGATTTTTGGCCTCCAACCTGAGTACAGAGGATTACATCAAGCGCGTTCCGTCCATTGATGTTCTTTGTAACCAGTTTCACACTCCACATGACGCTGCATTCTTCTTGTCTCGCCCAATGTTCGCTCATCAGATTTCGGTTAGTAGACTCGAGCATGTACATTTTATTATTGCCTGCCACTGGAAGGCAGTTTTACTGATGTTGAGCAGGGTCGACATGAGGAACATTTCCAGGTTGTCTAGCACACAAACTTGACAGAACCTGGTTTCCTATACCATACCATACCATACCACTTTATTTATAAAGCACTTAAAACAGCAACAAGGCCAACCAAAGTGCTGTACAGACAAAACAACAGGTAACACACAAAGCAAAATACAAAATGAGGTAAATCAGAATATAGACAAAAAACGATGCAGATAATGACGACAAACCAGTGTGGAGCATACAGGATCAAAACACAGATCATCTTGTGTTGAAAGCTACTGAATAGTAGTGAGTTTTTAAACGGGACTTGAAAACCGAGAGGGAGGGGGCCTGTCTGACAAGCAGAGGTAACTCGTTCCAAAGTCTAGGTCCTGCTACAGAGAAGGCCCTGTCACCTCTGCGCTTAAGACGAGTTCCTGGAACTGTGAGGAGCAACTGGTCCGCTGACCTCAGGGAGCGTGGTGGGACATACGGTTGTAGCAAATCAGAGAGATTGGGGGGGGCACTGTTCAGTGATTTGTAGACATACATGATGAGTCTTTTGAACTGGATTCGAAAGTGAACCGGTAACCAGTGCTGTGAGGCCAAAACTGGTGTAATGTGCTCTCTTTTGCCTGTACTGGTTAAAAATCGGGCTGCTGCATTCTGGACCAGTTGTAGTCGTGCAATGGAGTTCTGACTGATACCGAACAGGAGTGAATTGCAGTAATCAAGCCTAGATGTAATAAATGCATGCATTACTGTCTCCAGGTTATTTTTGGACAAATGGGCTTCAGTTTAGACAGCCGCCTCAGTTGGAAGAAACATGATTTCACAATCATGTTTACGTGATTAAGTTTCAGGGAAGGGTCCATTATCACGCCCAGATTAGTGACTCTTTGTTTTTCTGACAGGGTTAGAGCGGAAAGGTCGATGCAGTGGTTTGTGATCGTGTCGTTGGGAGGGAACAACATGACTTCAGACTTCTTTTCATTGAAACTTAAGAAGTTTAAAGCCATCCAGTCCCTGATGTCAGCCAGGCAGTTGAGCAGAGGTTGAATAGAGCATGTACCATTGTGTCTTAGGGGGAAGTAAATTTGACAGTCATCGGCATAGAAGTGGAAGGGCATGTTGTTTCCGGAAAATAGCACCAAGCGGCAGCAGGTATAAAGAGAATAGGAGGGGACCCAGTATGGACCCCTGGAAGGATCTCTTGTTAAGGTCCATCCCACAGTGAATCCTAAGAAACTGGCTGCAGATGCCGTCCGATCCGTCCACCCAGACTCGGCTGGCCTCTCGGTTCCCTCTAGCTGTAGGACCGCCTGAATGCTGGGCAGAACTCCTCCCAGAGCGATGGTCACTCCTCCCAGCAGTTTGCCGAGTTCCTCATTGCTGCGGACAGCCAACTGTAGGTGCAGAGGGACGATCCTGTCCTTCCGCTGTCATGAGTCGTGTTTCCTGCCAGTTCCAGGATCTCAGTGGTCAGGCACTCGAGCAGAGCCAGCAGGTAGATGAGAATGCATCCACAGAACATCCTTTCAACTCACTTGTAATTTGGGGCTGTAGTTGAGATATTATTTGAGCTTTTGAGATGTTAATCAGCTGCTGTTGTTGTAGAAAACTGCCTTGTTGCCATGGTTGCGCATCATAACAAATGTCCAAAACTAAAAAAGTTTCAGTAAAAATCCTTCCAGCTGCACAACATCTGATAACAGAGGAAACATTCATCCAAAAAATGTGATTTACATCCAGAAAAAGAGGAATTAAAGTTTCCAAAAGCAAAATCTCAAAATGAAAGTAACAGAGCTGCTCCAACATGCAGCCACCTTGAGCGTTGCAATTCTAGAACAATTCCCTCTCCCCAGCCACTTGGACCAGTTCCTCCAGGGGAATCTCAAGGCGTTCCAAGCGTTTACTTGTGTAGGTAAAACTAGATGTTAAACAACCATTAAAATACACCAGAATGCAGGAAATGGCATCTACTTTATTCAAAATAAGATATATCCTGTAGCCATGTTTCTGCAAAGATGATTTAAATTTGATGTCGTGTGCCTTTTGTAAACCAGAAGATTAATCCCTTGAGCAATTTTTTTTCATGTCAATACAAAGTGTTTGGTCAGACATCAGAAACTGGATTAATCTCAAACTTAACATTCCTTCTTTTCATGCTGATAACATTTTACTTTATGTGCATAACTTAAGCTCAGCTTTCTCTGATGCCATAAATATAGTCGTACTTATAGCAAAGTACCACATTCAGTGTAGTAAGAGGAGGGATAATAAGCCATCCTTCCTGTTTAATGAACGATTTTAAGTTGTACTATTCTTCATTCAGTAGATTCAAAATCGGCAAAACTGCTAAAATCATCTCACAACAGATAAAAACTTGTTGTTTTAATTAAAACAATGTTTCTCAAGAAAAAAAACTGATGAGCTTGTCAGCAGGTAAGGGGCGTTTACCTTCGGGACAAATTGAGGTCGTCGATTGGTCAGTTGCTGACACGCCTTCGGAGTTGATTGACAGGATCCGATTGAAAAAAGAACCAAACCCGAGAGCTGCAGCAGCCGCGCTGGGAGGAGGCGGGGCGGCACAAATGCAGCGGAAGTGCAGCAGTGTCTCTGTGCAGCGTAGGGCTCCAATTTAATGAAGCATGACATACATTTGTACCACCACTAGAGCGCGTATAACATAATCCTTTTATCACCCCAGCTCTAAGGTCAAGGTCACAACTCAAAGTCAAATGGTATACATTACTGATTACTTTATGTTCTCTACTTACAGTCAAAGTATGATGAGCTGAAAAAATCAGAAAAGGGCAACCGGCAGCAGCAGAAGGCGCAGAAGTATGTGGCGGCCTGTGAGCAGGTGATGACACCAGTCCACGAGGCTGTGGTCTCCCTCCATCCTTCCAGAGTGTGGGACGATATCCGACCTCAGTTCTACACCACCTTCTGGTCGCTCACCATGTATGACTTGGTCGTGCCGCAAGCTGCCTACGATCGTGAGGTCAACAAGCTCAAGGCCCAGATCAAGGCCATCGAGGATAACCCAGAGACAGTAAGTAGTAATGCTGTCTCCACACGGCTTATAAACCAGTCAGTACAGAGGAGGAGGAGACGATTTGACACTAGTGTGTATAAGAACAAGTGCCTGCAAACCAAGTATTTGTTGTAATTTTTGTCCTCTTTACATGAAGCCCTTAAATAAGAAGAAGAAAGAGAAGGAACGTTGCACCGCCCTGCAGGAGAAACTCCAGGAAGAGGAGAAGAAGCAGACGGAGCATGTCCAAAGAGTTCTGCACCGCCTCAAACTAGAGAAAGACAACTGGTTGTTAGCAAGTAAGTGTCGGAATGAAGAGAGATTAATGAGCTTTGCAAACAGTTCTTTTTAAATAAACACACGGTGTACATGTAAAGTTTAAAAACAATAAGACTTCGTTTAGCAGCATGCCATCATATCGGTATTGGAAGAGTAACTCATGATCAGCTGAGTTTGTTTCTGATCTATTTTTAATATTTAATGACAGAATCCACCAAGAACGAGACCATCACAAAGTTCCTGCAGCTCTGTCTGTTCCCTCGCTGCATCTTCTCGTCCATCGATGCCGTGTACTGTGCACGCTTTGTCGAGCTGGTCCACCAACAGAAAACACCCAACTTCTGCACCCTCCTCTGCTACGACAGGGTAAGACATTTACAGAAATGTTCAAACTAATGATGAGACTCTCTAAGTCCTGCAGTTTGTGTCAAATCAGAGCTCCGCTCCTGTTTGCAGCAGTGTGTTGGTGTAACAGAATTAGCCAGTAGTTTATTAACCAATCAATCAGTCCAGATGTGTATTACTAATGTTATTTAAAATCTAATGATGCTAATATATTTTCATTACTCGTAACGTTCACAACGGCCTAATTTTCTTGAATAATCAGAAGAATTATCTCATTAGGGGGAACACGGCGCCTTTACACGATCCAGTAAATCACATTAAGCTAGCTCTGATTCACATTCAGTAACATCACGGCACACAATGCTGCATTTAATGTCATTGCATAACGATTATATGTTGATATTATATGCTTATTTCAACATTACAGTAGTCTCTCAATTATCACGGGGGTTACGTTCTGGACACCCCCGCAATGAATTAAAAACAGCTCAAAATGTTTATATGGGTGCTCACCAGCCCTGGTCTGGTTCTGATCAGCTCTCTACAGCTGTTGAGCACCAGATGCTTTTGGAGAGAGCCGGGCCTTCAGATAGCCAGCACAAAACCGCACAATGGTCCCGTTCGAGTCCAAATAATCCAGAGAAATCCGGATGAAAAAAGTCCGGGTTGGCTCCGGAGAAGACACCGGACCTCAATGCAACTCCGCTCGAGAGGCCTCATGGGCCGGCAAGCAGCACTCAGATTGACCGATGAGGCTGGATGTAGTTCTGATCGGCTCTCTGCGTCCACTGAGCGCCAAAGTCACTATGAATAAGGACCGAACTTTTTGGTTCGGATCAGATCAAAACTTTCCCTCCATTTTGGCAGAAAGCAGCAGCCGGAAGCACTGTTGGCTTCTGGGTAATGTAGTCCTTTTGGACTGGCGTTACAGTGTAGGCTTATTGAAAGAAAACTACAAAATGGCGGCACCTGTCCGAAGTATTTTTTTTGTTAATTTTTTATTCCGTACTGTCCCAATCACGTGAATAATATTAAAATTGACAATTGTTGAAAAACCGCAAAAGAGCGAGTCTGCGAAAGTCGAACCGCGAAGTAGTGAGGGATTACTGTATTCTCTCTTGGAGGTTCAGTTTTGCTGTGTTAGACTAAGAATAATTACTGTTTTTTTAATTGTAATTTGCATTTGTGCGCTGTAGGGAAACAAGTATTGGATTGATGTTTTGTATGGGCTGACACCTCATCTTTGAAAATTATTGAAATTACAAATATATCTGTCAGATCATCTGGGCAGTTTCTTTTTTTGTGCTGAGACTTGTCACCCTCCATCAAGAAGGCATCAGTCTAAGGAAACACCAAACAAAACTGATTCTACCCAAACAGCTTACTCCAAAGTGGGAAAAAAAAAACTGTTTGTGCTAAGATGGTCTCTGGGGCACGCCCTCTCCTCCGGTGCCCGCCCTCTCTCTCGTCAGCAGTCATGTCAAACTGGTTCAAAACACCAAAGTCCATGCTCAATAATCCAGGTATAAAACCCAACAATTTTCAGTCAGGTCATCTGGATGGTTTATTTTTTGTTGTTGGATTTTATACCTGGATTCTTGAGCATGGACGTTGGTATTTTTGTAATTATTTTTATTAAAAAAAAAAATCAAATCCAAGTCTTTTTTTTTCTTCAAACCTTATTTATGTATGACTGTTGTTAATGTGGTGCTAACTTTTCGTAGGTGTTTTCTGCCATCATTTACACTGTGGCCAGCTGCACGGAGAACGAGTCTCATCGTTACGGACGCTTCCTCTGCTGCATGTTGGAGACGGTGACCCGGTGGCACAGCGATCGATCAGTCTACGAGAAGGTCCAGTTCTGCCTGTTTGCTTCATTCGGAGTACAGATTTATTATGAACACTTTGTGCAGGATCTGATTTTGTCTTTGCTGTTGTGCGATTGTAGGAGTGTGTGAATTACCCCGGCTTCCTGACCATCTTCAGAGCTACAGGCTGGGATGGAGGGAACACAGTAGATCAACTAAATTATGAGAACTTCAGGCATGTGGTGCATAAATGGCACTACATGCTGACTAAAGTGAGCTGCCCTTTTTCTGTACTCATATTTTTTATTTATTTAAGAGCTTAAAGTGTGAGCTGGTTTCAAATTATATCTTCCTGTTTTTGCCCTATTCAGGCTTCTGTTCACTGCCTGGAGACTGGAGATTACACCCACATCCGGAACATTCTGATTGTGCTCACCAAGATCCTACCCTGCTACCCAAAGGTCCTGAACCTTGGCCAGGCGCTGGAGTGCCGTGTCCACAAGATCTGCCTTGAAGAGAAGGATAAGAGACCAGACCTCCATGCCTTAGCGATGGGGTAACAGTGTTGTGTGCTGTTCAGCTCTGGGTGGAGCGCACAGTTCATATCTGCTTTATACCACACGGTGATACCAAAGAAAACATTGATGAGTTTCTAAAGAAAATACAACCTGCTGCTAACATGACTCTTTATGAGGATAAACGTTAACTCTCATATCTGATAGTGTAGTTAAAATGAAGTATTTTAACTGGAGATGCAGCCTGTCCTGTCGTCAGTGAAAACAAACATTTGAGTTCACTTTAGATTCTACAAAATTTAGGTGCAGGAAACCACCTGCCTTATTTAAAATGCAAGAGTTGCAAAGTCATGAGTACAAGGTCCCTCAGTTCGTATACACTCTGAAAAAGAAAATAGTTACTTTTAGTATAGTACAGATTTAAAAAAGAATATGAGAAAATAGAGAAAGGAGTAACATCCATCCATTCTTTCAGCTTTTGTGACTTTTTCAGGTCACAGGGGGTCACTGGTGCCCATGTCCAGCAATCACTGCGCGAGAGGCGGGGGACACACTGGACAGGTCTCCAGTCCATCACAGGGACACATAAAGACAAACAACCATTCACTCTCACACGCACCTAGGGACAATTTAAAGTTACCAATCAGACTAACTTGCATGTTTTTGGTTTGTGGGAGGAAACCGGAGTACCCAGAGGAAACCCACACATGCACAGAGAGAACATGCAAACTCCACCCAGAAAGGCCCCTGGACCGGGATTTGAAAAAAAAAAAAGGCTCAAACAATAAAGTGCTTTTGAAATGTATTACATCTAAAAAGATAGTGTGCAAAACTTTTAAATCAGTTGTTTGGAAGGACGTTGATGATGACTGAAAATGTTTACACAACTTTAGGTTTTGTTTACTTTGTGAGGTCCACACAATATCTTACAAAGTTAAAAGATGTGCTCGATTAAAGCAAATCATTTTGCCATTTGTTGCATACACTGTGCAACTCGTTAAAGCACAAGTTACCCTAGCACTAAAGAATGCACCGTTTTAATTTGTAATTTCACTTTGAATCAAACAAAGTTTAATAAAATCAACCTCATGTTCTATTGACAAAAACATAATTAATACCATAAAGTAGTCTTCACAAAAACTGACAATAATTTTGCCTTTTATTTTTTTGCTATCTGCTCTTTTATGTGCATTCACAGACAGTTGTACATATACAGTAAATGTTTGTACTTAATTGTCATAATTGCTCAAAAAATTGTTTTAAAACAGGAAATTTGAGTTGGAAAAAGTCTGGAAATTAAAAAGAAAATTGTCAGAATCATGTGAACAATTCTCACAGTATTGTTCAAACTGATACAGGAAACAAAGATGACTCATTTTATTTAAACGTTAATAGATTTTGAAAATAGAGCTCACTGTTTCTTTAAGTAGGATTTGAACCACCGTGAAGCCTCAGAATTAGATTAAATGTGATTATTTTGTCTGTTCAAACCAGAACTTCATAACAAGCCCACGAGCTCATTTTATTTCTGCAAATGGCAAGAATTCCAAAATTTTAACCTTCAGGAACAAATCCTGATTGCTACACATCAGCATCTATCATGGTTTTTAGATATGTTTATTAGAATAGCTTGCAAACACATAAAAAAGTACACCTAAAAACAGGAAGGCTCTCCTCCCTTATTATCTTTAAAGTAAAATCTTCACATTGTGTGGCATTTCTGAAGTTCTTTCGAGGTTTCTGTCTTTGCTCTTTGCAAATCCTCTGTGCATCTTACAGTTATTCAGGTCGGTTGAAAAGCCAGAAGGTGCACATGGTCCCTGAGAATGAGTTTCACCACAAGGAGCAGCCAGCGCGTAGTGCCACACCTGCTAGTCAGCAGAACGGACCCGGCAGCACCAGCAAGCCTGCCACCAGCACAAGCAAGGCAGAGGAGGGGGCGTCAGAAGATTGTGGTGAGTCTTTAAGAACATGACAAATGACTAGTAGATAAAGTTGCTTGATTATGGAATAAATCATAATCACCATTAATTTGATCAGCACTGCAGTTTCAGTAATTAAACACAATTACTCACTGAGTTTATAAACATTGCATAAAAAAACCCTGCTGCCTTTAACACGAACATTTTTGATACTCTCTGGTCTCTCGTAAATGAGTCCTCGAGGCTCATTGGGATTAGCCTGTCTAAATAAAGGTTGAATAAACTCTCCAATTGAATTGTCCCTTATAACAACTGAATAAATTATTACTCAAATGTAGCTTCTTGTAAAAGAAAAATGTTTTTTGTTCTTTGTCTGCTCCTTTCTCCAGTAGCCTAAACGAAAACGCATGAAAGATTTTACAATTGTTTTATGCTGTAATTGTTACTCCTTTGTTCGGTTTACATTACATGCCAATCCGCTAGGGGGCACTATCATGCCAGTAGCGCATGTTATGGGGTTTTATACTCTTCTTTAAGTTGTGTGTTTTGGTGTTGAGCATGGCGGAATGAAGATTTTCCGATTCAAAAGAGAAGTTATCTTTACTGACTAACAATATGCTCTTCCTGATGAAACTTGGGCTTGAATCTGACCACTAAGCTACCACAGCCCCCAGGCTCTTAAAAATAATGAGGACAAATACATGTGGAACTCTTTAAGCAGGAATCTTGGGGCATTTGTGGCTGAGTGGTTAGAGCAGTCATCCTCCATTGGGAGAGTTGGAGGTTTGAGTCCACCAGTAGTCACATATTGCAGTGTCCGTGGGCAAGACACTGAACCCCTCATTGCCTCTGATGTGTGTCCTGTCAGTGTATGAATCTAAAAGCACTAATAAGTCTCTGTTAGAATGATTTGTTCAGATTATCTTTGTAGAGATCTAGTAGAGTTCTGTATGAATGTGTGTGTGGAGGTAAATGAGGACACAGATTTTAGTGTAAAGCACTTAGAGTATCTTGATTAGATAGAAAGGTGCTATATAAGTACAGTCCTTTTACCATTTTAGGCACCACACAGTTCAGTTCAATTACTATTCAGAGGACTGTGATGAGACTTAAGGGTGCATTCACACTAGCCCTGTTTAGTCCGCTTTAATCGAACTCTAGCTCGTTTTCCTAGAAAGTCCGGTTCGTTTGGGGAGGTGTGAACGCACCATCGAACTCTGTCACGGAACAAAAAGGCGAACTCTGGCCCGGGCTAAAACCTAGGTCTCTGTCCGGTAGAAGCGAACTCCAGCGCGGTTCGAGTACAGTGTGAATGTAAACAGACCAAGCCCCGCTCCACAGGGTAAACAAACACGCTTTGCTCTGACCTTATATGGAGCCGTCAGCTGCCTTGTGTGAAAAACAATATTCTCCATGGTCTTCTGTCTCATCTTCTGTTCATGCCAAGTCCATTTTTGAAAAATGACAAAATATAACTCCTAAAACTGCTAAAACTTGATGCCACTTCGTTTTTATTTTTATTTACAGAAGAAGAAGAAGACGTGTCTTCAGAGGTTTTTGTGTTGTTTCTTTCAGTAGTTCTTGGTGCAGCGCCCCCACAGGCGAGCGGGGGAATAGGTTGGTTCAACAGGTTGACTCGACTGCACAGTGCAGTGTGAATGCAAACGCACCAGCTATATTGTAAACAAAAGCTTATGAATATTGGTCCCGAACCAAACAGAGTCTACCGGACTATCTAGTGTGAAAACGACCTAAAATGATTCAGTCACACTCCTAGCAAAATCCTAAGCAGAAAATCTCAGACCTAAAAGTAACAAACTATTTTGCTTTATATTGCAGTATAAAACTCTTGTTTTTTTTTTAAACAAGATTATAAGAACTAAATGAAGAAAAACAGTCAAAATACTTAAGTTTCTGTGGAAATGGTTGTTCATGCATCACATTTTGGAGCTGTCATTTTTTGTCTTCAGTGATTCTATATATGGTTTTTGGTCCCATTGTTGAGTGGGAATGGCTGTGTTAGTGTCTTTGCTGCACAATCTCTGTTTTTCAACCCCTGACCGCAGACGCAAATACTTAAACGCTAGTGGGCTTTCTAATTTGCTTCGTCTTTTCGGATTTGGCTAGAAATTTTGACGTCACTTGTGCCAAACTCCTATAAGCAACGCCAGTATACTACTGTTTCTTTCTCTGCCTCCTCTTCCAGGTACACATTTGCTTATTGTTGCTTTTGTCAACATAATTTTATCTTTGAAGCCAAATTTATTCCCAATACTGTCAATTAAAAAGAAGAAGCTGTTTGTGGTATCGGTTGTGTGCATGCCATAACCAGTCCAGATGTTGTACTTCCACAACTAAGCGTTCCCATTTGAGAAGCATTCCTCAACATATTTACATTTTAAATTTTGTTCATAATCATTCATGTACACACCGTGATGCATAAAAAAGTAACATTACCCCCACCTTTCCAAGTAAAATAAAAAAACAAATCATATTTTGCTTTTCCCAGAAAACGATGCAATAAATCCTTGTGCTCCTGATGAAAATGGTACAGCAGAGATGCAGAACTCGTATGAAAATAACATGAAATGGAGCATATGGCCAAAAAAATTTGTAGTGAGTGCTGAACGTTGTCTCAAACTTGCACATTTCAGTGCCTACAGACCTTTGGGGACAGGTAACGCTATATTCATTGTTTGATGGATGATGGTGTGGAACAAACACAGCTACGCTCTGCAGAGAAACCAACTAAAGAGATGTCGGAGAAGAAAGAGAAAACACAGCCGTCTGTTGTACAACTGTGCTCCATTTTATTTCTAATAATTGCTGTATACGCTTGTTGAGGGAGGCAAAAGTGGACATTTTAAGCATTTGGTGGTTCTCTCTGGGACTTTTTCGCAGAGCACCTCCCAAGTGAATGAAAGAGAAGTAAAATCCACCCTTAGCAGACAGAGCACTGCATGTGTGTTCTGTGCCACTTTGGAAAAATACATATTGGAGCAGCCCTCAGTACCAGTGAACCTTGCAAATGGGAATCTCGCAAATCAAGCTGTTGAAAATACAGCTTGAGAGAACTTTTCTGAAGAACGTATCGGTACAGATGGACCCTTCTTCAGTGGGATAGTCACTATAGTGCAGTGTTTTCCCTACCATTATACAAGTGGGGTTCCCCACCCCGTCAACAGAACTGAGCACCCCGCCGGCCTACCAAACGGAACTTGCCCCCCATCCCCCACCCAGCACTGACAAAGCACTAAGCTAGAGGCGCAAAATACAGGCTCTCTAGCTAAAAAGCTAAAGGCAGCATTCACGTTGCCTCTTCTCTTAAGCTGAACCCCCCCACCCCCACCACACACACACACTCAAAAACTGTATAAACAGTGCACAACTCAAACGTGTCACGCTAAGTTAGCAGCTCGCAATACAGGCGCTCTAGTCTCTTCCCTCATGCTGAATGTCCCCCCCCCCCCCCCCCACACACACACACACACACGCACTCAAAAACTGTTTGAACAAGCTGCGCTCAGACATGTCTTCATCCCCCGTCAACAAAAATTATGGATGAGATGAGCACCCCGCCATGGCAAGTTAACTAGAGGAAACACTGTAGTGCATGTGATAAAGAAACCACGAGGTGGAATGATGGCTCCAGTCCAGGGGAGTATTCCATCATGCCAGCAGGTGCTGTTCATAACTGGTGCAGTGCTTGGAAATGTAACTGTCCACCCAAAAAGGATCTCATGATCTTGGGAGGTGAGAAGAAAAACTGAGTACTTGACGTTGTCTCTGCTGACACCAGAGAGGACTCTGAGGGGATGAATCTGACCTCAAACCAGAGTGAGAATCTGCTGAAAACCCAGAAAGCTCTACTGAGAACTCGAGGGAAGAGCAGAGCCTTGACGACTCAGAAAATAAGAATAAATTTAAATCTCTCCAGGAGCTTGTCACACACCAAAAGAAGACCCAATAAAATGTCTAGCTGTGACTTTAGCAGAAAAGGTCAACTCTGGGCCTCATGAATTACAGAGGAGAGTGGAAGTATGCCATACTAAAACAAATGTGATAAAAAACTAAGAAAACTGCAGTTGCTGGGGAAAACCCTCTCAGATCTTGTCCATTCTTTTCTGGTGACATTTGGGCCAGGAGAAGGAGGGCAAGCAATGTAATCCTGTGGTCAAAACTCGTGGCCATGATGGAGGAGGTGCTAACCCTAAGCTTTGGTCTGGTTCATCCAGAGAAAATCCAGCCAGGATGATGACCAAGACAGACGTTTCTTGTTTTAGTTTCAAATGACACTGTGGGGCGGTATTTTCAGCCTGTGCAAAAAGGCTATCCAGTAGAGTCAGAGATGGATACCTACTCCTCTGAATTGAGGAACCAATGAAATGGTCACTGTATTTTTCTCAGTCAGACGGCTTCTGAATCACATTGACGTTGCAGGGGAAATGCTCTGACAAACCCAGGATTATACCCTTACCTGGTAAGACCCGGGAGACACCTAGACGTGAAAGATTTAATTGGTTCTGCCTGGCAAGAGAGGGTCATAGCAGAAACTGTTTTCTCGTTTCTGGTGACTGGAGCTTCATCATCTTGTGAACCAGGCACCAAGCCAGAGTCTATCTGGATATGAACCAGAACCAAAAATGGAAGCTGATTTCAGTTGGGAATGCTGAACAAAGAAGAACTGAAAACTCAACATGAGAAAAGACAGACTGCCCAGAGCTCCAAGAAGTTATGAGCAGCAGGACAAGAAAAAAAGGAATAAAGATCCCACTATTCTATGATCCTATTGAGCTCTATGCTGAAGCATTCATTCATTCAACCTTTATTTAGACCTTTATTTTTTTGTTTCTCTTCATTTTTCTTGTATTTGCATTTCACAAAGTGAAGTTACCCAATTTTGTAAACAATTCCCTGCATTTGTTTTAATAAAGCTTGTTCTATATTTTTGGTTTCACACAAATCTTGGTTTCATGACTTTTTAATTAGTCTAAAAAAAACTTTATTGCCCTGCTGGTAATCTTTTTCTTCTTCTTTCGGCTTTTCCCTCTTCAGGGGTCACTACAGCGAGTCATCCTCCTCCATCTCACTCTGCATCCTCTGTCCTCACTCCAACCACCTCCATGTCCTCTCTAACTGCATCCATATATCTCCTCTTTGTCTTTTTCCTGGCAGCTGCATTTCTAACATCCTTCCTTCTCTGTATCATGTCAATCAGCTCTCTACCTTTGCCTGTCATTGTCCCCACATTGAGAATTGCAACTCTCAGTCCTACATTCTTCACTTTCCTCTTCTCCTTCTGTTTCCTGACTTATTTCCCTCCTCGTGGTCTTTGACTAACAGTAGCACAATTTTACGCCGGCACCCTGTTTGTCAACAGCACTGGTTTCAGTCATTGTTAACCCGGGCCTCGACAGATCCGGCATGGTTTCGATTTGATGAAACCATGTTTTATCTGCTGGTAATCAAAAGTTAAAATTACAGGACCAGACGGAGGATATGTGGTTTTCATTCTTTTGGGGGATTGGACTTGAGCTTCTTGTGACATCGTCGCAGCTGAATCAATGTTTCACATTTGTTCCAGTTTTTTAATTCTATTAAAATGTTTATTTGTTTATTTATTCTTTTAGAATGATTTAATCTTTTTTAGTTAACCAAAATTAAAAGGATGTTCAAAAGTTCTAAATCACTGTTGAGGTTGCAGCAGTAATTTAAAGCTAATTTTAGTCTGTTCTGTTTTTATGCAGATCGAGGCAAGGATAAATCTCAGGGGACCTCAAAGCCAGTGAACAAAGCCAACAGTGCAGCAGCCAAAATTACCACAAGCAACGGAAACGGTGCTCTCAATAGGTAAACTTTGTTAAAAATATTCATCCATAAAACATTCCTAACTAAAAGCCTTTTCAGTTATTTTAAGTATTGGCTTTTGTCGTGATGTGTCTTTGTATTGTCAAAATCTGTTTAGTAAAATCACAATGTACTTTTTTGCAGCACCAAAGCTGTTAAAGAGCGGGACGACAAAGAGAAGATTGTAAAAGAGAAAAAAGAGAAAAAGGAGAAGACACCAAGCAGCACTCCAGAGACAAAGGCAGAGAACCGTCGAGAGAAGCAGAGAGACGAAAAAGCAGTGAAGGAGGAGCGGGTGATGCGCGAGGGTAAGGAGAAGACCCCGAAGGCAGACAGGGAGAAAGTCAAGCCAGAGGAGAAGAGCAGCAAAGAGGACAAGGCCAAAGCAGGAAACGTAGATCCCGTGGATCCATCCAGGGATGCCGTCAAGGAGTCTAAGAGCAAGGAGAAAGGAGACCGAAACGCTGCGACCGTGTCCCTCAAGTCACCTAATCCTAGATCAGAGCCTGCTGAATCTGAGAGGGGTGAGGAGCCTTACTACTCTTACATGCTGTGTTTCGTCACAAAGCTAATAAACATTTACTACCATCAGTCTGAAGGGCTAACACTGCAGCCAAAAGTGGACCAAATCTAATTTATTTTAATGACCATCTAAACATGACAAATTAGATTTTTTTCAATCCCGACCCAGGTCTCTTTCATATATGATACTAAATTGAATAAATAATCTGTGTTTTTCAATATGACCTCAGACTGAACGGTCATGGCACATTTCATCCAGTTTTACATCATCAAAGTACTGGTATGCAGTTCAATCCAAATACTGATCATACAGATGCTGACATCATTCAGTTTAAAGCTCTCCTTCAGTTAAAATAATCAAGTCCAGTTACTTTTTTTATTTTTTACTTTTTATACTCCTGTCCAAGGTAGATGTATGATGGTATAGTCTCCGTCTGTACCGCAATAAAGTTTATCTTTGTTCCGCCCATAACATCTTCTCCACTCAAGATAATTAAACAACACTTCATACATATATGATATACATCATGAGACAGTGTGTTTGACACACAAGGTCACTAATTAAGGTCAAAGTTAAAACAAAGTCTTAGCTTGTCCCTCTGATAACCTGATCCATTTGATATTTTAACAAAGCAATACATGCATGTATCATCACCAGACAAAGTGCTGCGTACACATGTCACCCCCCCCCCCCAGCTTAAAGGTCACGACTCAAGGTCAAAGGTAAAATCCTGTTGAATTTGTCATGTCCTGGATGTAAGATATGATATCAACGTTGACATTTTATTTTCTCAATAATAGTATAATGGGATCGATGAGTTTGTTCCTACTTTCTGTACATCACCCCATTCCAAAAATAAATAATAATTTAATTCTGTGCTGGAAAAGGCAAGGTCAAAAGTAAACACTGGATATAACAAATGCTAAATTTTTATTTATTTACCCTTTATTTATACAGGTAGTCTCAGTGAGTCACACAAACTCATTTTCAAGAGGTAAATAATAAAGAAGTTTGCTTCGACTGAACAACTTCCTAATTGATACACACATACTAATAATATGTGTAGCATCCAGACTTCCTTCTTTAAACAGCTTCTGTGTCTCCAGAGCCATAGAGCGTACACACTGGAGTCTGATGACGGTCATATTTTAATTATAAGGAGCATAAACATTGGAATAGAGCATAAAAACCTGCAGTGTGAATATAGCTTTAGACCAGGGGTCTGCAAGGAGTAAAACTTGACTACATCATGCTAGTAGTTTGTTAGCCACTTCTTTTAGCTCACTTCCAGGCTTATGGTGTGATCTGTTTCTCAAATATAATACGATACTTTATGAATTGTTTCCACAATTAAAAAGAAAATTCGTATAAGTCTACATATTGGTGTTTGAATTTTTAGAAAATTGGTAAAAAATAAAAAATAAATAAAATAAAAAAACAAGTAAATAAATCCAGTCTTCTTTTGTCCTAAATATAAAAATATCAATAAATGTTAATAATAATTTGATATTTTAGTTTCATAATATCACACCTACTGGCCAGAAAAGCCCCCTCCAACAGGCTTGAAGTGGGTCATGGACCACCAGTTGATAATCACAGTTTTTTCAGGTTTTGCGGCTCTATAGACATTTTATTTAGTGTGCAAAGGGGCAGAAATGGCTCTTTTGATCATAAAGGTTGCAGACCTCTGCCTTAGACAGTCTCTCTTTCACTCATCGTTATAACCTAAACATTACATTTAACATGCTGTTTTAAATACAGAAAGTTGACTTTGGTGCTAACTATAAAGTTTTCCTCCTCTTGCCTCAACAGATCACAAAAGACGAAAGCTCGACTGTCACTCTTCCCCGTCCCACTCCTCGTCTGTTAAGGTTAGTATGGCTTGAGGAAGGCTGTGCCCGTTTCTTCTCTATCTGCCGGAGCGTTCCCTGCCGTTGCACATTCCAGCAGCCCTGAAGATCTTCAAGGAGAGTTCCCATTCATGCAGGCATGACATCTGGAAAGCCCAACCTTAATGATGGGAGTTTGAAAGCATTCCATGGACATCAGCATAAAAGTTTTCAGAAACAGGAGAAAATCCCCTGAAGGACTTAGTCAAGAGAATATTATGTGTATTAAAATATTTTCCTATTGAAATATTTTCATATTTTTATATAAGTGAAAGCAGTCAGTGTGCCTTGGGATGAAAATTTTTAAGCATTTTTTTATATTTGCGTGGAGTTTTTTTTTTTTTTTTAATGCATTTTTTGAAATCAGTTTTCATCTGAAGTAAAGTGGCTTTGTCCAGTCAAGAGCTCTCCAGAAGCAAAGTGTCGTTTTTAATTTTATCCCCGCCAAAAGAAGTTGTTTGCTCTTTGGGATTTTTTTCCCCCGCTCTTTTTGCAAGCCGCCAAGAGTTCCTGTTTCGAAGTGGTGCGAAGTGTCGTGCCCTCTCCTCAACACGCCCTGATGCAGCTCGTAGATGGATGACGTCCAGCACACCTCTCCGGCACAACCTCACAAGTGCCTCCAGCCCTTCTTCTGTCTCGTCTCGTTAAAGCAGCCTGCACGCAGCCTCCACATCGCATGACGCACGCCCAGTCAGTCGTGCTGTGGCCCCCTTCGACGCCACCTCTACAGCCTCTTCCAGACATCGGCCTCATCAGTCCTTCTACCTCCTGGGGAGCGCTGAGCGGAGAATCCGAGCCACCAGCAGCCAAGATCAGCGGAGAGAATGAATATTGCAGTTGTGAACCAACCAAAAATACAGAGGGAAATAATCCTGCCCCTACAAGGAGAGAGTGGGCGAACGCAGTCGTCTGGAGCCTTGCCCACAGCCCCGGAAGCTTCTGCTAGGTCTTTATTTTACCCCTCCACCAGAGAAATAGGCTCCGTGTGTCTTATCCATTCCTAAACTGTAAGTGACAGCAGCAGTTATCTTTGTAGGGACGCAGTCAAGCACATAAAGAACTGAGTGATTTGTCTAACACACACAGGAACACGTGCACACACACACACACACACACATGCCCACTATTTACAGCACTTGCACTTTAGAGGTATTTTATACCAGCTGCACTAAAGTTGCAGACATGTTTATAGTAATTAAGTTATTTCACATATGCTCAGGGTTTAACAATAAGTTTTCTATTTTTTAAGTGTTTACATTCCAAATTTTGAGCCTATGAACTTTCGTCTCTCTAATAACTTTGTCAAAGCCTTAGCTCTTGAAGGTCAGAGGTCAAAGGGAGAAGTATGCTGTTGGTCCGGCCAGCCCAGACTCTCCTCCCCCTCCCCTCTTCTACCAACTTTCTACTGCTGTCTGACAACCTCCTCCCAAATCCCCACCCCCTCCCAGCTCATCTGTCATCTCCATTCATCCCTACAGGACAGTAACAACGAACTCAAGGAGTCCACACCCAAGGTTTGTGTATCTGCTGTTCATTTTCTTCTGTTGGTCTTCCTTTTGTTATGTTCAGGACTAGGGGTGTAACGGTACGCTAAAATCACATTTCTGTTAGGTTCAATTTCAGGGAGGGCTTGGTTCGGTTCATTTTCGGTACAAAAAAAGACAAAATGAAGACTTGCAAAACTTTTACTTTGAAAATATGCCAAGTAAACAATACGTTTATATAAAAATAAATAAAAGTGACCCATTTTGATGATACTTTAAATAAACGGCACTCTTTACAGTATAATAAATGTAAATATATATATTTATAATATATAAATAAATATTATAAATAAACTATGCTAACAATAATAAAAATCTTAATAAATACAATAACAGTCAGATGCAGAACAATAAGCAGCAACAGACTGTTTACAATCTAAGTAATCAGGTTTTAAGTTTTTGGCCAAAAAGACCAACTTGTCCACATTTTCTGCCAAAAGCTCAGATCTGGTTGCAGTGACATTATCTCCAGTGGTGGAGAAAATCCTCTAACAACAGTAGCAGGAATAAAGAGGTAGAGCTGTGCTAATTTTGCAGTGTGGCTGTATTTGGCCTCATTACTCACAACCTCTTGGACCTGCTCCCACAGGTGGGACGGGTCACTGGAAAAGTTCAGAGTTCAGTCATCACAGACTTCTTAGCTGGAGGTGATCTCTGGTGGATTTCCCTGAACAGGAAGACTCAGCTTCTATCTCTGTCCCACAATAGAAATAAAACAGAAAGAGGTAAAAAAAAAAAAAAAGAGAGTTAATAAAATCATCATCATCAGGGCAGGGCTTTAATCTGGTCCAGGGCTTGTTGACAATATCAGTTTTAGCTTTTTCATTAAGTGCTGCTGAAGTGTTGACGTGTTGTCGTAGCGGGGCTCAATAACTTTAAAGCCGGCACATCAACAACATTCAGACGTAGATCCAGAGCTTTAAAAACTCTTACAGCTTGTGTTATTGCTCTGGACTGATCTGAAAAGGTTGTTTGAATGCTGCTGTTATTGGTCTTTGCAACAAGCTGCTTTTCTTGCTTGTACAAGAGACGTTCACGTTCGGATGATGTCGTTTCAAGAGCGTTCTCAAGTTAGACGTGTTGCTGCTGCAGATCCAATCTCCATGAAACAACGTCGACACAGCTTTAGATTTACACTTGTCTTTAACAAGAAAGCCATAATGTTCCCAAACAGGAGACCGCAACGAGTAGCTAGGCTGCTAATGCTACGCGTGCTTCAAGATAATAGCGCCGTGCTGAAACACGCTTAGGAATTTTAGTTCCGGGGTGCATAATCTCTCGTTAATCAAATTTAATGAGAGGGAAAATAACCGAAACGGTACGCACGTGGACCGAACCGAACATGCCATACCGAAACGGTTCGTACCGTTGCACCCAGGTGTACCGTTACACCCCTATTCAGGACTCGAACATGTGAGCAGCCGCACACGGCCTAGAAACAAGCTAGTTTTGTTTACAAAAGTGTGTATGTTTGAAAACTCAACTTTTACTTGTCTAGTGATTTCAGCAGCAATTCCAACCTTGTATTTTAAAAAGAGGAATTCTCAGGTTTCACATTGACTAAATATTATACGATGGGATTTCTTAGTGCTACCGTTGATCAGTTTCAAAACAAACTAAAATGATTGTTCCTGAAGATGTATCTGTCAGAAAACTGATTTAAAGGTTGACCAGAAAGAATTACCATACTTGCCGCCGTACACGTCGCACCACCGTACACGTCGCACCACCGTACACGTCGCACCACCGTACACGTCGCACCACCGTATAAGTCTCATCAGTTCAAATATGTCTAATAAAGTGGGAAAAAAACATAAATAAGTTGCTTTGCCGTATACATCTCATCTATTATACGTCATCGCTGACCACTCGGAAATGTGGGCCAGTGTTGTGCCAGAAATTGATTGGCTGCCAAATGGTGGTCGCGGGAGCATGCACGGGAGGACTTTAACAAGAATTTAACAAGATTAACACTTAAAAACAATTATTTGTTTGCTCAAAATTAGGGCTGGGGGATGTCTCGAATATACTCGATGTATCGCAAGATTTTCTATTTACAACGGTTACAATGGCTCCATCGCAACCATCAAGTATTATTAGACTTGAAAATTTGTGTACCGTAGTTCTTTTTCTCCTGTCTGCATCTCCAACTTCACACAACCTCCTCCTTCTCCCTCTTTAAATACAAACACAGCACCTCACCCGCGCATGCTGCCCCCGTCTCCTGCTTCTCCAGGTGGCGGGGGGGGGGGGGGGGGTAACCCAAGTAAACAGAGAGCAGCTTAGCTGCTGTGCAAAAAGAGAAGCAATGGCTGTTATTTGGAGATGGTTTGGATTTAAATTGTCAGATGAGCAGCAGAAAAATGTTTTCTGTAGACAATGCTGAAAACAAGTCCCGACAAAAGGTCAGAACTACAAATTTTTTTCACCATTTAAAACAGCGCTGTAAGTTATAAGTTGCAGCTCCGACTGTGGTTTCAGACTCCTTTCCTGAGACGGGGCGGCTGTGGCTGAGTGGTTAGAGCAGTCGTCCTCCAATGCGAGAGTTGGGGGTTCAAATCCACCAGCAGTCACATGCTGAAGTGTCCCTGGGCAAGACACTGAACCCCTCATAGCCTCTGATGTGTGTCTCATCAGTGTATGAATGTGATAAAGCACTGGTTAGTCTCTTTAGAATGATTTGTTCCATTAGCTTTGTAGAGATCTAGTAGAGTGCTGTATGAATGGGTAAATGAGGCACAGATTGTGGTGTAAAGAGCTTCGAGTATCTTGAAATAAGATAGAAAGGCGCTATACAAGCACAGTCCATTTACCATTTACAAACCATGGGGTCAAAACTCATTTATTAGCCATGCTGTGCCTTATGAGGAACAGTGAGCGCGCAACATTAATAAATCAGCAGCTTATCATATCGAAGACACGGTCCTTAGCGGCTAACAAGACGGCTAAAGTTGGTTGTCTTGTTAGCTGCTAAGGACCGTGTCTTCAATATGATAAGCTGCTGATTTATTAATGTGGCTCTGCCTCTCACTGTAAGTCTTGAAAATCTGTGTAGTTCTTTTTCTGCCTGTCCAACGTCACACAGCTTCACGTGCTGCTTCACACACGCTTACTAATGTTGTGAAGGCGGCGCAGCTGAAGAGGATTATTATTTAATATATGTAGGTAAATAGTTTATTTTTAGACATTTAGTACAGTTACAGCTGTTTGTTAATACATGTGCCTGTGTGACAATTGGGACAAAGCTTTGACTTAGAAATATATTTTATTACTTTATGGAAAGGAAAAAAATATTAATTAATTCAACGTTATTTATACAGGTTAATCTCATTGAGCCTCGGGACTCATTTACAAGAGAGACTTGATTTTAACAGAGTGATGACAATAGTAGCCAATCATAAAATAAAGCATATAAATTTAAAAAATAAATGGAAGAAAATTATATTAAAAAACGAAACAAAAACAGCTACATTATAAAGTGATATAAAATACTAAAAACGGGAACATGTCTGCATTGGTTTGTGCCATGAACTTAGCCGATGTTTGACTATCGAGATATACAGTGAGGAAAATATGTATTTGAACACCCTGCGACTTTGCAAGTTCTCCCACTTAGAAATCATGGAGGGCGCTGAAATTTTTATCTTAGGTGCATGTCCACTCTGAGAGACATAATCTAAAAAATAAAAATCGGAAATCACAATGTATGATTTTTAAAAAATATATATTTGTGTGTTACTGCTGCAAATAAGTATTTGAACACCTGTGAAAATCAATGTTAATATTTGGTACAGTAGCCTTTGTTTGCAGTTACAGAGGTCAAAAGTTTCCTGTAGTTTGTCACCAGGTTCTCTCACACAGCAGCAGAGATTTTGTTCCATTCCTCCACAGATCTTCTCTAGATCAACCAGGTTTCTGGGCTGTCGCTGAGAAACAGAGTTTGAGCTCCCTCCAAATATTTTTTATAGGGTTTAGGTCTGAAGACTGGCTAGGCCCCTCCAGAACCTTGATATGTTTCTTACAGAGCCACTCCTTGGTTCTCCTGGCTGTGTGCTTCAGGTCATTGTCATGTTGGAAGACCCAGCCACGACCCATCTTCAATGTTCTAACTGAGGGGAGGAGGTTGTTCTCCAAAATCTCTCAATACATGGCCCCGGTCATTGAGATTTGGGGCTGTAGTTGAGATATTATTTGAGCTTTTGAGATGTTTATCAGCTGCTGTTGGTTGTAGAAAACTGCCTTGTTGTCATGGTTACGCATCATAACAAATGTCCAAAACTACAAAAAAAAAGTTTCAGTAAAAATCCTTCCAGCTGCACAGCATCTGATACCAGAGGAAACAATCATCCAAAAAAATGTGATTTACATCCAGAAAAAGAGGAATTAAAGTTTCCAAAAGCAAAATCTCAAAATGAAAGTAACAGAGCTGCTCCAACATACAGCCACCTTGAGCGGCGCGATTCTAGAACATGCCAATTCAATTCAATTCAAAAATACTTTATTAATCCCAGAGGGAAATTGTTTGTTGTAGTAACTCGTTATCCTCATTTCATTAAGAGATGTTATACTGTAGATGCTGATGGCTGTAGACAGAAAGGATCTCTTGTAAAGATCCATCCCACAGTGGGTCCTAACAAACTGGCTGCAGATGCCGTCAGGTAAGTCCACCCAGACTTGACTGACCTCTTGGTTCCCCCGGGCTGTAGGACCGCCCGAATGCCAGGCAGAAATCCTCCCAGAGCAATGGCCACTCCTCCCAGCAGTCTGCCAAGCTCCTCGTCACTACAGCCAGCCAACTGTAGGTACTGAGGGACGATCCTGTCCTTCTGCTGTCATGAGCCGTGTTTTCTGCTAGTTCCAGAATCTCAGTGGTCAGGCACTCGAGCACAGCTGGCAGGTAGATGAGAATGCGTCCACAGAACATCCTTTTCAACTCATTTGAGATTTGGGGCTGTAGTTGAGATATTATT